ACAGTAAAAGGATTACATTAACCGTTAGCTGATAAATATTCATAAGCGGCCCATTTTAAGAAAATAAAAATGTTGCCATAACAAATAAACAACTTTTATCTGAATACTGTATCGTGGATGTGGATTATTAATGTTGTTTATATTGCCTTGAAGAACCCTGGAGCCAAGGTTAGTAACACTGGACTCTCTTAAAGAATGAAAATGAATAAGAAACAACACAAACAAAATATATTTGTTATTGGATCAGTGGGCAAATCGCTGGGCAAATTTCACATTATATTCACTATGGTCTACACAAATTATAATTTATTTATTTAATTATTAGTCACATTTGATTGGCGATTCTAATCCAAAAGGTTCTGGTGGAAGTACTTAATGAAGTGCCAGTTCATAAAGTCCAATAGATTGTCGTTTTTTAAAAATATTTATTTTCATAAAAACAACACGGTTGTATTAAAGCAGAGATATAAGCTTCCTAACTGAGACTGTTGATGGTAGATTTGGAATAAGCTGATACAGAATGAACTGTTATCATTTGTCTCAATAGGAAATGTATGCAGAACCCCAGAGAGTAAAGAGGTTTGGGAAGCGGAGTCAGTTTTCAACGATAAAAATCAGCTGGCGCCTGTTGAGGAGGTGCCTGTGTATGTCCTGTCACCGCCGAAGACAAAGATTCTCCCTTGTCACACCTAAAACATTTTCACCTTAATGCTCACCTACATTTTGGCTCCTGAGTGTATTAAAACAGTTAGATGTGTTAACAATCAGAACATGTAATTCTGTAGATCCAGTCTGGTTACCACAAATAAAACCAAATGCCAACTCAAGGCCAAATGGCAGTGCTTATTATCTTGATTCTCATACTTAAATTGTCTTCCCTCAGCTCAAGTGAAATGCTGCTCTCCTACCTCTTCCATCTCATATTCTCTGTCATGTTTCCACGTTGTTGTTTTTCCTCACCATTAGCCTTTACCTTTAACTGTAAATCAAAGCCCCCAGTAGAACTACAGGCGTCTTGTGTCGCACCCTCTCCCTCCCTTGGCTTGTGATCTTTAGGCTGATGAGAAACATGCAGAGGTGTTCCTTTTCCTTCCTGTTCTCATGCACAACTTTAAGTGGCGACCCAAGAGACTTGGATTGGGTTTACTGACCAAACTTTACACTTCCCCAATAGACTTCATCTGCTCCTTCCCTGGGTTTGCCATCTGCACGTCCTTCTGTATAGACACCCATTATTAAAGAGTTAGGCCTCAGTGAGCAACTTCAACCAAACTAAGGACTGGAGCCACAGTTTCAGGCCACAGGAGTGCGCTGAGGTGTAGGTGCTGCAGGTAACTCTAGATTTTTAATTACAGCGTGTGCACGGCGGTGCGATAAGAGGGTCACAGCTTCCTGATAACCTGTTTGATGAGTCAGAGGCTGTTTGTTGCCCAGACTGAGCGTAAGCTGTGAGAACGGGACAAACAAAACCTCATCTTTGTGTAAATACATCTCTCTGAACTTCCTAGATTCAAAGTAAGAGCCGCCATCTGCTTTCACCAATGACAATTGAAACCACACACCTGAGTCACTATTGAAAGTCTACCCTATGAATACAGTGATAAATCCAAAGGAAACAATGAGAACATGGTTGATTTTCCGGAGATGGACAGTGTCTAAGCGGTTAAAATCATTTCTTCTGATGTCAGAATAGTGAGATTATTTAGACACATTGTTTTGAGGGCAGTCAGGCCAAACATAGCAGTGTCTTTGTGTGGGTGTGTTGTTACACGTATCATCAAGAAGATGAAATTCAATCCAGGAAGTCCAGTTCAAATAACACATCCATGAGTTTTTTAGGTTTATCAGACATCAAAAACACTACTCAGCAGTTTATAAAACCATGAAGATTTTACAGCTCTGGAAAGTCATTGTATCGTCTGCGTCAATGATTGTGAGGTAAAGGCAAAATTCCCCATTCATGTTATGAAATTATCGACCATGAATGCGGGATTGCAGGTATTTGTTTGGCGTGCGCAGTGCGTTGCTAATCAACATTGATTGTGGTGCGGCAAACAGTGAGTCTGGTTTGACTTTTTTACTGCACAACCCTACGTTTTGTTTGTGCCAGAGATCTCCATGTCGGGGTTCGTTCATTGAAGTGAATGAGAAGATATAAATAGTTGGTGTGAACATCATAGCTTTATTGTGGACATTTTTTAATGGCTAGTACAAATTGTATGTCAGAACAGCTTAAACATGCTGTAGTTCCATTCAACAGGCTAATTTTGTGATTATCCAAATCTATTGTTATTAATTCCTATTGACTCTCCTCCAACTTCCCTCCATTCATGATAACACCGAGTCAATAACCCGGGGGTTTGCCAGCTAACTAGCCTGTGGTAAACTCACCACACAGTACCAGGACACAGCTTATCACAGACAGGACACCACTGAGCTCTGCAGCAAATCTAGCTACAGTTTTCTTTCTCCCACCAAGAATGGTAACCAAGCTGAAACCAAAATATTGGATCTCAGGAAATAGTGGAGGACAATTTCCTTCGAGTGTAACATTAGAATGCACGAGCTTGGCTCCCGGAGGTTTGGGGCCACCACCGCTGGGCCACTCCAATTAGATGGAGCTTCCCTGCTGCGGTCGAGCCAGCCTGAACACAGGAGCATCCGAAAGGAGCTGGAGGAAGGAGCGAGGGGAGACACACACACACACACAGCCCTGAGCACTGTGTTATACTTGGCACATATTATGCCTAACGTCTCTCCCTGTCTACACGTCTGGCCCCTGAATAATATGCTGCGAAGTGATCATAAGATGGCAAAAAAAGAGGAATTAAAGATATGAAAATATGTAAGGGCGGCGAGAGTGAAGACAAAGTCCCTATTTTTAGGGATTCCTACGAATACAAAAGTAACAGAATACATACAACTCAACTGGAAAATAGCTGAAAAGTTTGATTTTAAATTGTGTTGACTCATGCTTGACTCCAATGTTAAAAAATTATCCTGGGTGGAGAAGTACAGTGCAGAGCAACTGCCATGAGCTAGCTGGTGGGGCATGCTCACATACATGCCCATGCTCTAAAAGCACATGCGGCAGGCCCGACTATGTAAACAAAGAATGGAGAAGCTCGGTATAGCTCGGATAACAACACACACAGGAGAGTGACATCATTCTCTGCTCATGTCGCCATTACTCCACGATATCTTTACATGGACAATAGCTGTCTGCTGCTATCTCTGAATATCATAAAGAGAACCTATAGAAATATAATTGGAAGACATTGGAAGCCAATGGCTTTCTTGTTTCTGAACAAAAATGTGCCTGCCATCTTTGCTCAACCAGTCCTTAAATAGGATAAAACTTTGACCCATTGTCCAAATTTTAATTCACATGAGGATGAACATTTAAAATTGTGTACATACAGTCGACAATCACTAAATGCAGTTTGTTGACCTTCTCTTTTTCCTTTGCCCTGAAATAGGATTTATCAAGAATAGACCTGGCTTTCCCCATTGTAATAAGACACTGTTTAAAGCCCTTGAAGTATGCCATTGTTCATTTCACCCTTGCCCTTTCTAAATGTATTAATCTCATTGCCGCGGTCTAATACTGAAATCCCCAGTGGAAACACCTAAGAGGACTAGATCTGCTCGACCACACAAGATATTCCCATTTCTCCTGAAACAAGTGATTTCAAAGGTATAACCGTGGTCACTGCTGAACAGCTAGAGGAAGTACATCTGTAGGCCATCCATTTGTGAGCGTTCAGCAGAGGTTTGGGTATTGGCTCTGATGCAGGTGCTATCCTCTGGAAGGTGATTAGATATCATCACTCTTTCATTAACTCCGTATTTCTAGTATCACAGTGACTGTGTAGGAAGAATGGCCCTTTTCATCGGTCGTCCCAACTAATGAGCCCTGCTGAAAGGACCTGGTTAAGGTGGGAGGATAATGAAACAAGAGAAAGGCTGTGACAAAAAAACATGACACCGGGGATTTGTGAAATAGAGCAATGTGGGTGTTTTCTAAATGGAAGTATTTCAATGTATTAAAATTGTAGATGTTTCAATTTCATTAGGATAATCAAATATGAGCCTACTGAGCTAAAAATGTTCATGTGGGAAATGGGAAATAAGGATTTAAACAAGAGCAGATGACAGGAATGTCAAGGGGAAGTAGTGAAACGCATTGGAGTTTATTTTTAGGTTATGATACTGCAGACGACATGTCTCATTTTCACCTGATCATAGAAACAGGTAGGCGGGGAGGAGGGCTGAATGTTCCATTACGTAGACCAGACCCGAGCACATACAGGTTCTTTGTGAAAAGTGTCTCTGTGTGCAGGCAGAGGTGCCACACTGACATCATCCAGAGCCGCGGATGGGACTTTTCATGTGTAGCGGTGCCAGGGAGCTGCTATAGTACTGTCAGCCAGTCTGACTCAGCACTAAACGCTCCAGACACAACCATGCAAGAATCCATGACGGAAGAGAGTTTCACAACTTGCACCGCATTTCTGCTCAAAGCTACCTAAACATGAAGTCTGGGAACTAAAGGGTTATTTCAATAACATTGGAATTGTTTGTAGTCAGACGACTCATAGTATTAAAAAATACATGATTAGGTTACTCAGAAAAAGACAATGGTGATAAAAGCCATGGAACCAAAGCAAGAAAGATTGGTTTTGGAGTGTTGAGAATGGTTGATTATGTTAGCGCATGCACTTTGGAAGTTGGTGGAGTTTCACCAGATATCCGTACGATGATAATGTTTATATGGGTCATGAATGGAGAAACACAATCAAAAAGCAACTAAAGATCACTTAATTATGTCTGAGAACAGCAGCCTCTGTGGCCACAAGTGGCAATTACAGCATAATTTCATTTAATTTCCCAAATTTTATGAGAAGAGTTTCTTTGATAACTACATTCTAGGCATACAATGACATTGTCGTTCTTGGTAACGGTGACTAAAAGAAAATCTTAACTTAAGGTCAACTTACTAGCTTTTTCAACCACATGACACAGTCTTCCTCAGCAGATGGATGGACTTTGCTCAAACCAGGTCTTTCACTCCGCTCTGGAAAAAAATGTGGTTGAAATCTGTGTGAGAAGCTAGAAAAAGTAGAGAAAGTCGGAAAAATGACTCAGTAACACAGCAATAGCTGTTTGCTAACAGTAGCCCCCCAAGATATGAATGGTCATACCAGACCGTGTATTTACTTCAGCAAGGGTGCGTTTTAGTGCTTATGAAGTTAACTTTTCAATTGCAACAGAAAGATTGTTATTTTCCTCTGAAAAAAAACAAAACAGGTAATGTCATAACATTTTGTCAGCACTCTGAGAATGAGCCATTGTTATTCGGACATAATTACAGGTCAGGCCCTATTATTGGAAATGCTGGAGAGTGACCTGCAGAGATCACGCTCTGCTTTTATAGCATTTCATTGTCATTTGAACTGACTCAGAGGTCACTTTACCTGAAGGCATGGAGGCTACCATGTTGTCACTCAGCAGAGCTCAATATTGGATGTGCTTTTCAAGTGTGCTGTTGGAAAGGTTGGAGGGTGAATATTAGGATTTCATGCAAGCAGCTCCTCAAGGTTTTAACAAGCGGCAAGAGAAACATTTATACTCGTGAATTACGTTGTTTTATCGTGGTTTTTGCTTGATGATAGCATAAAACTAAGACTCAATCGTGGCACCTATCCAACGCTGATGATGTTTATCAAGAACTTTAGATTCCCAGATCAGCGTGTATTTCCTTCCCTGCAGATACCCTATCAATGGGTGCCCAAGGTGTTTGAGTTTACTAAAAGCCAGGAGCCGATAAGGCTGGGATTAAAGTAGCACTATCTGCAGAGGAGGCCGGAGAAAGGAGAAGATATACAAGAAAGCGTGCAGCAGCAATTATCACACACTGCTGGTCACAGGGGTGAAGGCCAGAATTTGTTTCCCAGTTGGACTTCCTTGGTGGCATAGCTGAGCTATCTCCTGTGTTATCTGACCTGATGATGGAGGTGGCAACTGCCAGGTCAATTAATAATAGCACAGTTATCCTTTGCAAAATGCCATGAGTCAACAGTTGCCCGTGGCCAAAATGCTCTGATCTGGTTCGGCAGACACCTGGCGCAGTGTGTCCATCCCCACAAGACCTTGGCTGACAGTGGGCAAGGGTACAGTTCTGCAACCAAACTGGCCTGGACTTTTCAAGAATGAACAAACAAACTGCCATTTCGATGAGAACCAACAGAGGAAGCGTCCGGAAAGCAAAAGTTCAGAAAGTTCGCCGACAGGATTATCTCAGCTCTCCTTGTCGCAGTCTTCTGCCATGTCTGGGACAGTTGGCACTAGTTGTGGAACGTCTCAGACAGGTGTTACGTCTGTTGTGAGCGGCTGAAGCCACCTCTGCCTCTGCTGCGTACCTCTGCCACAGTATGTGTCACTCTGTGAAGTCTTCCAATCCCTCACGGCAGATAAATGAATCAAAGGATTGAATGCACTTCTTGCTATTGCAACATGTCTAATGGATCTCAGTATTTTACAAGTTCTCCACACAGCCTGATGAATGCTGAATCATGGTTCCCTTTTTAACTAACTACTGTATTTGGTTGAAATTCTATACATTCCTGCATAGGGCACTAAATCAAAACTTTCCTTTTATAAAATAAATACAAAATGCAACACATGCTGCATTCCTTCTTTTGATTCAATTGTTTTGTCAAACACTCTTCAAAGGCAACACACCAACACGCTTTAAAAAGAGAGGCGGTCTGGTCAAACATTTGCAGTGGAATCTGAGAGAGCTAGGAGAGGTGGAAGACATGTCTTGGCAGTTTACCCCCAGTGTTTGACTCAAAATTTTGACGCCATGGCTCGAAGTCAAGCTGAGAAGTTTCCCAAGACCTGCTCAGCCTGCAGGCGGGTATTCCATGTAAGCTGCGAGCCTGGCCCCTGAGGATCTGCGTCCCCCTCCCTTGTCTGCAGGGCACCTCAAACCTTCTGCAGTCAGCACCGTGGAGGCGCGAACATGCCCGACCACACCTCTGATGCCTCTGTGTTAGCCATCACTGGGTTTCCTCCTCTGCATGTTGAGACCAGCAATCTCAAATGGCAGCAGCTCAGCTCAAACACTGACAATGACATCAAATATTTTCCCTCTAATGAGACGTAGTGTGTCGGTTTGTACAAGCAAAAGTATGAGACTGCCAGCAGCCCACAGCTGCATGGCGTGGGCTGAAACCCTAAGAGAGGTCTGAGTTTAACTTCATTGAGGGAAATAGATCAAGGATTTTAGTCCAAGTACAGAGAATCAGGTTACTTTGAAGTGTTACAAAATCAACATAATTATAACCATTAACTGCCCATGAAACAAAAACAACTTACAATCCTTTCGTTTTTCCACTCCACTTTGTTTCACACCAATGTACACTTTTGGAAAAAGAACATTTTTTTTATTGTATTTTATCTAGCTGTATGCAGGGGAGCTGACAGAGCTGTCTGCACAACCTCTAAGTCAACCAATATGACAAGGGGCAGAAAACACAGGTACATATGACATGCACATTAGGCTGTTTTTAATGAACATGTCAGGGTCAAGACAGACTGAAAGGCTTTCACAGGAAACCTTGAACCACTGCCCTCTTTTTAGAGAAAGATGATATTCATGGCATTTATTCCTATCAATGAAAGGCACTGACTGCTGACAAAGACTGAAACAAACATATTCTAATGAAATCTATGACATGTGACACATGTTAATAAGATACAAAGACATTATTTTATATTTGGAATATATTCTTTATATTTTGAAGATGACTTCACACAATCTTCATCTAAACAGATTTAAAGTCGTGGACTGTAGCTCACCAGCTTCTTTTTCACCTCTTCTGGGATTAATACAGAATCAACAAGGGAATGGATTTGACCAGAATGTTTCATGAAAAAGTGCAACAAGTATTTTATATTTCTATCAGCCACATTCAATGTGTGAGCATAATGATATTCTTAATGATTCCATATTCACACAACTATTAAAGTTGCTTTACTTTTGACCAATTGATTGCTAAACCAAGGTTGTGATAAAAATAGAAAACGCTCAACGTTTTCAAGACTACATGTCGACTCATAACTAACACCAGTCGGATTTGGTTTCTAAAATGGTATACATAGATTATAGTGACTGAACTCTCTCAACAAAGTGTCCTTTGTCCACCGAAAACAAGTGTTGGAACAAATCCAGCAAAGCAGATTTTAGTGTTGAGACACGATTGTTTTGATCCGCTTTTTCACAGACTTTATATTGAAATGGTTTGCGTTGACTGAGGACAACTTCAGATATATTAAATATAACACCATTTTAAATATCTTTATGCACTTGTACATTATCGGTAAAATAATACCATCATGATTAACATTATTATTATGATTATTACTAATTTAAGTAGCATTGTTAGTATTGTTAAAGTTATTCGCATAGATCCATATGTTCATAGAAAACGAGATTGGAATTGCATGCAGTTGCAAAGTAGAAACCACCAATCATTATACCACCAGTAATTTAAATCATGAATCAAAATAGTAATCTTCAACCTTTCTAAAAAAAAGTATTTATGTAAAGACGTTATGGATGAAATGGGAGATACAGCCATGTCACTTGTTGATTTGTTGTAATAAGAAACGTGTTTAAAGCCACATGTTTTGTACTGTAAGCCGTACTATCACTAATAAACCGTCTGCTGGAAAGAGGAAATATGAGTGGCAACTTTAATTTTGAAATATGTTTTGTATTAATCTCTTACTACGTCTGAATCTTTGCAGGAATCAGAGGAATCTTTCCTCTCAAGTTTCTGGACTGCTGTCTCCCCCTATTGGTCCATGTGGTCACTGTGCAGAGCTGAGAGGTGACGGGGATGCGGCTCAGCAACAGCTTCTTACAGACTCAACTGTCTCTGTGCAACAGACACAACGCAACTGCCCGCATTCTTCCGAAAAAAAGAGTTATAAAATATGCAATTAAAAACGTCACTAGTTTTCAAATGAGAACTGCTCTAATGTATAAATCAACCAAACAGGTATCCAATATCTCATATCTCATACAAACAGCTGACTATTGTGCCTGCAAACAAACCTCAACTCAAAGATGTTCAGACATTTAGTTGGCAAAGCAAGTGACTCGTCAATCTGGGGACACGTTGTAAAAAATATGCAAATGTTCCGGTACGTTCTGTAAAAAAAGAAAGAGAAAAAAAAGTATATAACCAAGTATAATGAAAAACTAGAAGAACTGCAATTCCAATGTATTTATACTTCGAACAGTACAAGTGAGGATTGGACCAATAGTGATTTTGTGTCTGTAATCAAAGAAAATGCAGAGGACGTTTTTTTTGTCTTTTTTATATTGCTTGATATCACTGTAATATTAATATTAATCCTTCACATTATTGTAACATTTAGTAGTTATGATTTGTAATGATAGCCCTACTTTTTTTGTCAGAGGGTGTACTGTTTAACATTTAACTTTTAACTTTTTGTAATACCTAAAATGTAAGTGAAACCAAGGATTATAAGGGGGAAAAAAATCTCTTTCCTACTTTAACTGGGGTTTCGCTGTTGTTGACTGCACGAGTTCTTCACAGCCGAGTCATATTACGTCTCCGCCTACCAAAAGTTTCCCCCAATCATTTCATTGCCGTCAAACATAAATCCAGGCTTCGCCTCCTGAGTCTCTAGACTCTTCAGCAATCGTCCAAGAGTAGTAGACCTCTCACTCACATGTCTTCTTAAGTCACAGTTGCAAAGCTGAGCATTAGAAAGGCGATCACTTGCAATCTCCATTCTTCTCTGCAAAATTTTGAAAAGTCGAAGGATCGTCAAAAACTTTTATTTTTGACATTTTTGTTGACTTTAAAGGATTCAAGTTTGCCAGTCAAGCTGTGCGCCCTCACAGGCTGTCACTGCAGTCTTTGGGCACAGCGCTTGGATTTAGAAAGAAGGATTTTCTCCCTTTTTTTTTTTTTTTTTTTTTTTTTTACTGCGAGAAGCTGTTGTTTAAATTTTTCGCATGAATCTCCTCGACCCTTACCTCAAGATGACAGAAGAACAGGAGAAGTGTCACTCTGACGCTCCCAGCCCCAGCATGTCTGAGGACTCCGCAGGCTCACCGTGCCCGTCCGGGTCCAGTTCGGACACTGAGAACACCCGGCCGTCCGACAACCACCTCCTCTTGGGTCCAGACTTCAAGAAAGAGGGCGAAGAAGAGAAGTTCCCCGTGTGTATCAGAGATGCGGTGTCCCAGGTGTTGAAGGGCTACGACTGGACGCTGGTGCCCATGCCGGTGCGCGTCAACGGCTCAAGTAAAAGTAAACCTCACGTCAAAAGACCCATGAATGCATTCATGGTCTGGGCTCAAGCCGCACGGAGGAAGCTGGCCGATCAGTACCCGCATTTGCACAACGCGGAACTCAGCAAAACCCTGGGCAAACTTTGGAGGTAGGTTCGCTCTGCATTCGCAATCACTTGTGCGTTTTTACGCGCCGCTGTGCGCAGCGTACTATTTCTTCGATGAAATGCACCACCTGCCTGCTGTTTTACGTAGAGCTTCTTCAATCTGTCTGGGAATTTCAATAACGCATTTCAAACTATATTTCTCTCAAATACTGTTTTCTTATTGTGATTTTGGATATTTTTCTTAATTGTATGTTCGAGTAGGTTATAGAAGTGGTTTAGACTTAGGATGCGCATACTTTTATTTTAGCTGCCTTCTCTTGATAGTTAATATTAAAACAGTGAATGCAATAATTCAGTTAATTGCACATCTCCTACAGTGATTAATCAACTCTGTTTTGTGCTTGTTGTTAATTGAATACGTTTTAATGTGAATGTACAATTCTCTGTGATATTTTCAGATTGCTCAACGAAGCAGAGAAGCGCCCGTTTGTGGAAGAAGCTGAGCGTTTGAGAGTGCAGCATAAGAAGGACCACCCCGACTACAAATATCAGCCAAGGCGGAGAAAGTCTGTCAAGAACGGGCAAAACGACCCCGAGGACGGCGAGCAAACCCACATCTCTCCAACTGCGATCTTTAAGGCGCTGCAGCAGGCCGATTCTCCAGCTTCAAGTTTGGGCGAGGTGCACTCTCCAGGAGAGCATTCAGGTAAGAAAAAATTGTGGCACTGCTTGTAGAAAGCATTATTCATATTTAGAAGCTGTTGTTTAGAAGCTGGGCCTTGAACATACACCTGTTAATGATTAGTGATTCATGATTCGTGTTTTATGAGCCATCATGCAGATATCTGTCAGTATAGTGTCAACAAACTCAAATCTACTGGTATTTCAATTCACCAGTGCCTCGTGCAGGTACATTTGATTTCAAGGCTAACTCTAACTTTCCTCTAACCAGGTCAGTCCCAGGGCCCACCAACACCCCCAACCACCCCCAAGACAGACCTCCCCTCCAGCAAGGCTGACCTGAAGCGCGAGGTTCGCCCCATGCAGGAGGGCACCAGTCGCCAGCTCAACATCGACTTTGGAGCTGTGGACATTGGCGAGCTGAGCAGCGAGGTCATCTCCAACATGGGCAGCTTTGATGTTGACGAGTTTGATCAGTACCTGCCACCTCACAGCCACGCCGGAGTGACGGGAGCAGCCCAGGCAGGCTACACCGGCAGCTATGGCATTAGCAGCTCCTCAGTCGGCCATGCGGCCAATGTTGGGGCCCACGCCTGGATGTCCAAGCAGCAGCAGCAGCAGCAGCACTCTCTGACCACCCTGGGTGGAGGAGGAGAGCAAGGCCAGCAGGGTCAACAGAGAACCACCCAGATCAAGACAGAACAGCTGAGCCCCAGCCACTACAGTGAGCAGCAGGGCTCCCCGCAGCACGTCAACTATGGGTCCTTCAACCTGCAGCACTACAGCACCTCCTCTTACCCCTCAATCACAAGAGCACAGTATGACTATTCAGACCACCAAGGTGGGGCCAACTCCTACTACAGCCATGCGGCTGGCCAGGGCTCCGGCCTGTACTCCACCTTCAGCTACATGAGCCCCAGCCAGAGGCCGATGTACACCCCGATCGCCGACACCACAGGGGTGCCCTCTGTGCCGCAGACCCACAGTCCGCAACACTGGGAGCAGCAGCCCATTTACACACAGCTCTCCAGGCCTTGAGGACGCGGCCCTCAGCACTGACTGTACAACACCCATCACATCTTAGACCATAGATCATAGACGTTTTTTCTGCACGGTGGCCTTTGTGCCACCATGACACACACACCCTTCATCCTCAGCATTAAAAAAAAAACATGACGAGGACTTTTTTTATTGTACTGAAAATATAACTCTGGATTGGCTCACAACAGTGCCTTTTGTATTGGTTGGAATTGTGATTATATTTTTTTAGATATAATGTTTTAAAAAAAAAAAAGTTAAATCCTCTGTGAGGACATACTGGTTATAAATATTTTAGTATGTACTGTGTATGTGTTTTGCTCTTGTCATCACCATCATCATCACACTCAGTGTCATCAGCATCGTCATCATCACGATTTGAAGGTTTAATTAATCTAAAGTAGCGGGAATGCCGGGTAAAAAGTACCCTCAGTGGCCTTACTTCACTATTTTTTGTACACAAGTAAGAAACATCAGTTTACTGACACTGCCGTCTTATAATGCCTACAGCCTACATTCTGCTTTGAATTTTTGTACTGTACATATTGTATTGTAATTCCCAATGAGATGCAAGAATTGAGCAATGCAGGTTCAAACTAGATTTGAATTTTTGGCCATGATATGACCGTGTCATCAGTGAGTTAGTCAAATATTCTACTTCTTGTTCTTTGCTTTAGCTCAAATGATTGTGATGGAAACGTATAGCAGGTGCCATTTAATTCTACTAGGGGCCTTACTGTGTTGCTAGATGTAACTGAGCAACACTTGCTTTTATCCGGGTACTGCCTCATACCATTGGTGCCTCCGGAGCGAAAGTGGAGAGGCTCCTTCCCACTGGCATTGCAGTGTTGAAACCACGGCATAGTTCTGACTTCCTGCTGGAGGAGATGCAGGAAGTCACCTTTGACCTGATTCTCCTCAGCAGCCAGCAGGTCTGAGTCTGGCGTGCTTCTGTCATTCCTACAAGCCACATCCTTTTTTTTTTTTCTAACCTTTTTTCTTAATTTATTCTTTAGCATTAATTTTATTTGAGAATAACTATTTGCAATTGTCTTTTTAATTCAGCAGCAGCTAACTGAGATGGAAAGTTTTCAGTGAAATAGTTTGCTGTCATATGTGGTACAAATTTGTTTATTTATCATTTGTAAATGTTTCCATATTAAAGTTTCTTTTATTCATGATCTAGTTATGTACAGATTACTTATAATTACACAATGAGTCTTTCTCTAAAAACGGAAAAACTGGAAGTTGTCTTTTTTTTTTTCTCTAACAAATTAATTAATGGATATGGAAGCTGCGGCTGTTTTTTTGTAAAGAATTTGCTGGAATCAACAGAATACTTTTTGTTTTTGAAAAAAGTTGTGTTCCTCGTTTTATATTCTGTATCATTAGTTCTCATCTTGTCATCTCCTTAATGCAGTTTCCGTAGGTAAACATGGCATTGTCTTAAAAGCTTATCTTTTGTATTCTATTATTTGCAATAAAAACAAAACACTGAGAAATATGCAATCGTCTGGTGCCATTCATTCATTATAAGCATGTTTCATACCGTATTATCTATGTTGAAGTATATTTGTCAGACAACGATCAGCGAGGTCAGTTATGACAAGGTGGTAGAAGACTGGCTAAATTGAGGTGTTGTTTACTGAGTTTGAATCACTTTGGAGCATCCAACAACCACACAGAGGATTGTTGTAATGTGACACAGATCATTTAACTTCTGCATTAATCAGAGGCAGCTTGTCCGATACCCACTGCAGCAGCTTGTTTACATTTTCTTTAGATCAATCAATGTGAAGTGAAAATGAAAATCGGTACATGCACGTTGTGGTACTGGGAACAGTGGGTTTTTGCTTCTGGCTTCTCAGACCATGAGGTCACAGGTCCATTATTACCACAGACTATTGAGAAGATGTATGTCCACACCAGTCCCCCCCGCCTGTATACACCATAGCTTAAAGAAACAAACTAGACATTGAATATTGTTTATTCATTACTTGCCAAGTAATATAAGAATAGAGCTGACCTTAATAAATCAGTGGCAGTGTAAACATAATCAGGTACTATAGCTTTGTGTTGAAATTTGAGGCACATTCACAGATGACGTCTCTTTCCTCACATCAACTCGACTGAAACTTTTCTCTGCCACCCACCACTGCGCCTCATCTCACTGTGATGACTGGACAGTTTTTTTTTTTTTAAAGTTCCCTCAACTTATCATACAAACGATTACACAAAGACTACTCTTGCAAATCAATACAATTGACAGATAATTACAGTATTACCTACTAAGCTGACCCTTTGCAGGAAATAAGAGACATTTAAATGAAAAATATTTCGATGAACCAATCACAACTCATTTCATACCTCATCGTAACATTTTAGTATTGGCACTAGTCTGTGTAACTTCCTCGCAAAATATCTTTATCAAAAAGGGAAGCAGCTTTTTATTTTTTCACTATGTAGCACCAACGTGTAAAGAGGAATAAAGTAAGGACTCCTTGAGACATTGTTTATAACATTAATGTATTTATTAGCTGATTTTAATTGTTTAAATTGCATAGAATGTGAGTGAGTGCAAATCTGAATTTCAAATAACAGTTTAACAGTGTATTAGTAGGTTTAGTTAAAAACAAACATGTCAGTGTATTTCTAGGGTTTCAAAATGCTAACAGTAATGCTGTGTATATCTCTATCTATTGGTAGATATCATATCAATATATGATACTATCCTAAGATGCCAACATGTTGCTCACATGCTGTGGGGTTTGTGGAAAGTGGAAAACAGTAACTAAACAGTGGGAGTGTTTTGGCTGAAAGGGAAATTACATTATTTTACCACGGAATTCACTGACTGATGATGACACTGTATCAGCGAGTGTAGCCGACACTTCTAATTGTGATTCAAAGTTGGTTTCCACAATGTATATTTATTGTTTTAAATCTCAGCACTGTCACTGGTTTGCAGTTAAAACAATAAAATGCCTGCAGTTGTTTATTATGCTCTTCTTTTTTGTTATCTCTGATATCTCGGCTTCTTCTTCAGTAACTTTGCTTCAAACTGCTGCTGCTAGCTGCTGATTAAAACAGTATTGTGTTATATAAACTTTAAAAAAAAAATAGAAAAATAAAATATATCAATATGTAAGACTACTGCAGGCTTGACTCTGCTGTCTCTGGTTAAATATGAGGGCTGAGTGTGTGAAGCCCTGAGCCCACCTCCCACAGAGAGCTCCCCTGAGGCACATCCATCACTGGATCTCCAGTGGCTCGGACCCGGAGCGGGGCAGCAGGGCAGCGGGGCAGCGGGGCCTCGGGGCCTATCAGGGCAAAGGGAGGCCAGTTAGTGATGGTTCGAGGGAGAGCAGAAAGATTTAGCAGGGCATCACAAGGAAAGGCACTTTTGTTTTGTCTTCCAAACCAAGGAATTGTGTTAATGACTGACACGGCTGAGACGGAAGATGCCGGTTCACTACATTTTCAAACTACAAGAATTCAAAATAGGAGTCCAAAATGGAAAAAAAAACAGCAGACTGTCAGAAAGAAGATCTGAAGGGAATAATGGAGCGCATTCAACACAAACATTGACATTATAGTTGTTAGGAGGAGTTCTAAACGTAAAAGAAATCCTGCCTGACTCAAACAATTGGCAAAAGTCATCCCAGTATCTGAGCTGGCTCCAACAGGCGTATAGAAACACAGCACTCAGGACATGATTGGCTCCTGATGGAAGACCTTGCCTGAGAGTTAAACCGGAGCCAACATTTCTGTTCAGCAAACAAGGGGAAAAGTCTACTTTGGTAAACACGGGTCCATGTTCTTCCAGCTTCAGAGAAGGACCAGAACACATTTGCT